TCGTCTACCGTCCTATGTCTTCGTCGACGTTCTCGAAGGCCTATGTCCCCGGTCCTGAATTTGACCTTAAGCTTTGTTCCTGCATCCATGAGCCCATGTAGGTAATCCTTGAACCCTATTCCTTCCCTCAACATTCCGCACACTTCTAGACCCTCCTTATCCTTGGATTTGTTCCATAGATTCTGTTCTTCTCTCTCGGCACAAGCAACAGGGGGGGTGGGGGGGGATATTTGGTTTCCATATGATGAACCGATCTCGATATTTTAGTGAGAGCTCCAGCAAGGGAACAAAGGCATGTATGGTTGAGGACGTTGGTCGGCGGATGCCCGGTGCACCCTCCGACACCACCGCGCCTGCTGCCGCACCTGCGGCGGACGAAGCTAAGACCAGGATGCCCACCGTCGCCGCGGACGGCGGTAGGTCCGCCCCTCCCTCGGGCACCACCGTGCCCGCTGCGACCGGTCGTGCCGAAGGGACCATGGTGCCCACTACCGGAGACGGCGGGCACTTCGGTTATAATGGTTATGAAGTTACCACTACAAGTTCTTCCCATTGTTTTTTTGTTTGGGTTGTGTTGTAGCATGTTGCCGTTGGGNGACGGCGGTAGGTCCGCCCCTCCCTCGGGCACCACCGTGCCCGCTGCGACCGGTCGTGCCGAAGGGACCATGGTGCCCACTACCGGAGACGGCGGGCACTTCGGTTATAATGGTTATGAAGTTACCACTACAAGTTCTTCCCATTGTTTTTTTGTTTGGGTTGTGTTGTAGCATGTTGCCGTTGGGAGAACACGCGCAACCCCGCCCAAGCCCATGCACGGCCTTCCTTGTGCGACCTTTCAACGGTGTCCCGTATAGGTGGTACCCATCTGCAGCGGCCCTCAGCTTACCACAGCCAAGAACTAACTGCAGCTAGCTACAGCTGCTGCCTCTGCTGACAAGAACCCAGCAGGGAAGAGGTGCTTGAGCGACGTTCCAACTCTCTCTCGTGATTCATTTATAGACGCTTCTGCTTTTGAAAAGGTAAAAATATCTTCACATAAAGACCAACCGTTCGAGGTACCTCAGTCGACAGGGATATGGTGAAGTTTTTTCAGTAAATATAGTGGAATTTACTTCAGTTTCTTGGAAGGTGTTTGGCCCCCGGCGTGGTTCCAACGTATAAAACATGCTTTCATGCAAGGGCTTCCCTTGACCCGGTGCGCAGCGGCATCGTATCCACGTATCCACAGATATACTGGTGAGGTGAGTATGACGACAGCAGCAGTATAGGCGCCATCCGCAACTGAGCGTCATACGCCCTGCTCAGCTGCAAAAAAAAGAGTTTTTTGAAATCCGTTTTTCTTAACGCTTTCAGAACCGCACAACGAACGCCCAAAAAAACGCAGAAAAAAAGATTGGTTCGGGAACCCTTTCAAAACATTTTCTCCGCGTTCCCGACCGAGCTAGTTTTTCTACAACTCGGCAATCGACTCCGCTTGGCCGATTCAGGGGGGGTAGAGCCACTCAGAAATATGATCAGACCAAAACTCAGCTGAGCGCGGGCTCAAACATGGGTGCAGCTGGAGCTGGGTCAGCGGCACCTGCGTCAAAGCCGGGCAAGTGCGAACGCATGCTGTGGCTAGGAAAGGTTAGGCATGTCGTACGGCACGAGTGGAGACTACACACGGGTAGCGGAGAGGTGCTGCTGTTGACGACGACTCTCGCCGACAAGAAGAACCCCAACAGGTCTTCGAACAAGCGCCAGGTATAGGTTGAGAATACCGAAGAAAGTGTAACCTCAAAAGCCGTAGAGATGGCTCACATCGTTCGCAAGAACAAGCGCGAAAAGTAGAAGGCTCAAGGGCATTCGGGGGGCAGCATCAGCGGTGGTGGCCCTAGGAGAAATACAGAGAGGTAGCAGACCCCGTCATGGCGGCTTTACGAAGAGGTGGCAGGACCCGATCCAGGGTGGTGGCGATTCAGCCAGCTGAGCCGGTGAGATGACAGTGGCGCTAGAGGTTTCAGTCAACCAATCAACAGCACAGCAGATAAGTTTGTCGAGGCCCACTTACAATGCACTCATCAGTCAACACATGCGGTAAATTCGCTGAGACACGAACAATTGCGCCGAGGGGGTTTTCATTCCACCGAGAGGATCGAGTTGTATGAAACGTCGCGTAGTTGTACAGCGAGAGCTCGTCTGTGCCAGCTCCCACGGAAACTACGCGCCCAATTTTGTGTCTGCAAATGGTCTCCCCATCAGTCGTGCCTTGCGCTTAAGTATTATTGCGTTGCGCAACGTCGTACCCCCCGCCTCCTCGTTCATCATGTGTGCACACAGACGGCGCTGGTTGACTGGCGCCAGCAGTCTACGGAAACGTTTCTCGCGTCCATGGACAGCATAGGGTATGGCAACGCGCTGAAACACTTGGAGGAAATCGGCTCGACGTTTGCGAAGGACACCCGTAAACGCTTGCGAGAGTTGGAAGCCAAGGTCAGCACAGCAGTCTCGTTGGAGCGAGCAATCGAGCAGGCGCAATAGCAACGTGGAACCAAGGAGGGAAGCCGCACGTTGCAAACGACCCTCACCGCTGCGGCCTTTCCTGGGGACGGCGTAGACGAGGTTCCATCGTTGTCGGCAGCACGTCGGGCAAAGGCGCTGGGGGTTCGCGAGCACGCCTTCAACTCCGCGGTGGAGCGTGCCACGAATTTGCCGATCTTCATCCAACCGAGGCGATAAAACGCGGTGTTCACTGGTTTTGTCCCCGAGCTAAGGAAAGCAATGCCGCCAGCGAAGAGCTGCTGGTGTTGATGAGGCAGTACTGGCACACGGACGAGGTGTCACGCCAGTATGGCAACTCAGCTGAGCGCGACATGTGGAAGGCGAGTAAGTCTCCTGCAGCTCACCACCACCCTCGGCGGCAGCTCACCGAGCCGGGCGGGGGCGACGCGGTGTACGCCAAATTTCTCAACTGGGCGTCTTACAAGAGCTTTAAGGAGCGACAGAGCGACGACTTCACTGACCCTGGCCGCACGCTCTTCCTCTCTACGCGGTACAAGTGAGTGGTCCTCCCTGCCATGGAGCAATGCGCGTGCAAGATCCACTCGCAGCAGGTGCTTTACATCGAGGCCCTGGTCAATGTCGACACGACCAGCCACGGGGAACGCCGGTGTCGATGGTGCAACGCAGATGGCGGCCGCAGTGGCGGGAAACGTGGAAGCACTTGGGCACATTCTCCGATGCGATCGCCTGCCCCAAGGTCAACTTGCGTGCAGCGGACCCGGGGGGTGACGGTTGGATGGGGCGGAAACCAGAGTGCAACGCTTTGGACTGCGCGAAGTGTGGGTTCGGGGGCGCAAAGGCATTCCCATCTGCAGCAAGCTAGAGAACTCCGAGCAGACGGTGTGTGGAAGATGTTCGAGGACGTCATCACTGCGCCTGCATCAGCAGATGGGAAGATCAAGGCCAAGAAAATCGCCAACCAGACCGTGCCGAAGGAGGGTAAGCTTTGCGATCTTTGGTCAGCGTTCAAAGAGCACACCAAGATGTACATGGCTCACCACTCTATCGCCAAGTGGCAAAGGCACTGCCACGGCGTTGCTTGGAAACGTTTCAGGACGGTGACCTTGCCATCGAGACCGACTTTGCCGAGAAGTACATCCACCAATCCTGCATCAGCATGATGATGCCGGTTTACCCGCAGACAACGCTCATGGTGGCCATCGTCCACTTCAACCCGCAGACGCACGTGGGGGGTGGCAGGGTGCACGTGCCGGAGACATGGATCTTTGCATCTGAAGACATACATGGCGCATGACTGAGATTTCCACCTGCACGGCTTGGCCAGGATGGCGGGCTACTACCTGCGTGGAGATGGGAGCGAAGCAACAGCTGCCGCCCGGAAAGAAGGCCGGACGCCCCGGATTCACATGTTCACGGATGGATGCGGGAAGCAGTACAAGGGAAGGCGGAATTTCCGCTTCTTGGCCGACAGCGTGCGGCAAATCGGCTTCTTCATCGACCACCACTTCGCGGCCACATCTCACTTCAAAGGTTGCCATGATGGGATCGGCGGAGTCGCAAAGAACGCCATGAAGTGGAGGGAGAGATTTGGCAAGCGAATCATGGGGGCGGACGGGGTGGTCAGCTCTTCGCGAAGCTTCTTTCGGGAGGAGGCAGGCAGCGAGGGGGAGGAGAGTATGCGGAGGTACTTGGCGAAGTGGTCTCCGTACCGCATGCGGAGGGTGCAAGTCGAGTTTATCGGCAAGAAGGAGATATATCGGCCAAACTCGGTCCTGGCAGGCATGTAGAGGGTATACGAGACATGTACCACTTCGCGGGAGCAAACACTCCCAAGTGGGATGGGTTCACCACGACCGAGGGACTCGAAAATGACTGCAAGCTGGTACGAAAGCGCGAGGGGTGGGGTAGCTTGTCGAGTCAAGAGAAGAGCAAGTTGGTGGAAGTCAAGGTATTGGGTGCAGTAGCGAGCAGATGAAAAGGGCAAGGAGGCTGGGTCACAGGACCCGGTGTCGGAGGAGGAAGCCGTGACTTGCAGAAAGGTGAAACGGACGTAGAGGCTCAGGACCTCGGTTGGCGTCGTGCTTCTGCTCGGCGTGCCAGCGTTGCGAGTATGAGCAGTGCTACGTCAGCAAGACGTACCCACGTCTCGTTCCCGCATTGCAGGAGGGCGAAGTGAA